TTTTTTTTTTTTTTTTTTTTTTTTTTTTTTTTGCGTGTCATCCTTGCGCAGGGGCCATGCTAATCTTCTCTGTATCGCTCCAATTTTAACAGATGTCCCGAAGGACAAGGCTAGAATTTCAATGTATCGTCTAAGGGGTTTGCCTCTCGTCGAGCCTGGGGTCAAGCCAGGGGATCCCACTCCACCGTCTTCACCCGAATAGAACGGCTGATGATCATATCTGTATTTGGCACAACTGTCAGCCCAGATACGGGGATAATTACCGGGCGTTCTATTCCGGTGAAGACGGTAGTGAATTACTACCACCGTAACCTGCCAGGTTTGCTGTTACTAAATAAAGGAAACGAAATTGAACTGCAGTCCAAAAAAAAAAAAATAATAATAAATAAATAAAAATGAACTGCAGTGTTGTTGTTGTTGGTGGTGGTGGGCTGGCCGGTTTTGCATAAAAACGGATAAACGGATAGGGATAAGTTGGCTGGAAGAAAAGCCAAGTATGGGAAAGAAGGCATAATATAACGTTGTTTCACCGTTCATTAGAGAATAACATCTGTGGTATCTCTTGGAAGGCAGATTTTCTTATTTTTTATTTTTTTTATCTGCGCGAAAATTTGAGTTCTGGGAGAATCCGGGGTCTGCTCAGGCTTTAGAACGTCAGAAACGGGCGATAGAAAGCGGCTGTTTTTTTTGGGGGGGGGGGCCGGGGCGGAAGTGGGGGTGTCCTTGGAGCTTCTGTGAAAACGACGTTTGGGGGACCTGTCCCTGAAGCTTCCTGTTTCTTCTTCGGTGCTTCCTCTGTGTTCAGAAGTAACTCGCAACATTAACAGGATTTGAACTCTCGACCTGTTGGTTATAAGGTGTGGTTATATTTGTGCGCAATTCAGCCGCCAGCTGGATGCGCCTGTCCTCCTCCTCCACCTCATTCTTCTTCTTCTTCTTCTTCCTCTTCTTCTTCTTCTTGTTAGTCTTCTTCTTCTTCTTCTTCTTCTTCTTCTTCTTCTTCTTCTTCTTCCTCAGTTGATTATTTGATTTAGTTCTTTCTGTGCTTAATTCACCCACCAGCCGCATACATTTCTCCCCTTCCTCCTGCTCCCCTTTCTCCTCCTCCTCCTCCTCCTCCTCCTCCTCCTACTCCTCCTCCTCCTCCTTCTTCTTCTTCTTCTTCTTCTTCTTCTTCTTCTGCTGCTGCTGCTGCTGCTGCTGCTGCTTTGCTTAAGTAAGGGAAATACGCAGAGCCTAGCAACTTGGCCATCGCTTCTTCTTCTCCTTCTTCTTCTTCTTTTGCAGCTGCTGCTATTGCTGCTACATCTTCTTCTTCTTCTTCTTCTTCTTCTTCTTCTTCTTCTTCTTCTTCTTCTTCTTCTTCTTCTTCTTCTTCTTCTGCTGCTGCTGCTGCTGCTGCTGCTGCTGCTGCTGCTGCTGCTGCTACATCTTCTTCTCCCTCGTCTTCTTTTTCACAATTCACTCTTCTTCTTCTTCTTTTGCTGCTGCTGCTGCTACATGTTCTTCTCCCTCGTCTTCTTTTTCACAATTCACTCTTCTTCTTCTTATTATTATTATTCCCCCCTACTCACCAGATACACACTTGTAAACCGTTCAGCGACTGGTAGGAACTAAGAGGATAGAGTGAAACCTGTGAAAGGACAGGCTCCTCCAGAGTGAAACCTGTAAAAGGACAGGCTCCTCCTCGGATAACAGCTTGAAGTGTCTCTTTTCCGTCCTCCTCGGTGGTGTCATTCTACTCATCCCGATTTGCAAAACTAGTAGTACCATCAACACGATTGCCGCTACTCCAGCGATAAAATGTTCTACTATAACTATTACTCCTATTTCCCCACCTCAGGCTGGTCCTACTTGTATATTCATCGTGCTATTTTTGTACAGAGCTGCGAGCTCACACGAAGCAAAATGGCATTCTCTGTTGCGTTTCCTTGAAGATGCCATCTAGCGCCTTCCTTTCAACAGCAATTCCCATGCATGTTGAAGACTGACAACGAGGACATGCTTTTTTTTTTTTTTTTTTTTTTTTACCAAAAATGTC